GAGAAAAAGTGTTCTAATGCACTTTTTTGTTTTAAAATTTAACCTGTTTCTTTGTGAATACTTTATAAGCATAGATACTAGCCGCTGGAGCAAATCCGTCACATTTGCGATCCGAACTTGCTATAAGACCAGCAACAAAAGTGCCATGTCCAAGGCCTAAAAAAAACACTGACGATGAGTTATCATGATTTTTTATTATCAATATAAATCAGTTATGAACTAACTGTTACTTAAAATATTAAATTATTACCAAGAGCGCCAAAAAACTTCCAGCACGTCTAAAATTAATGAAAAATCAGATTTCTAAAAAAAATATGTTAAATACTCCCTCTCTCATGCTTTCTGCTATTCTACTTTCAATTCTTGGACACTAAGAATGTTAAAATTTCGTTAAATAGAATACAAACATTGAAGATAACACATATAAAAGGCAAAAAAATATCAAAAAATAGTCAGATGAGCGGGAATATTCCGGTCCGTTAAGTCGTAAACTTCAACAGATTTTAGCTACGAACCACATATATAAGGAATTCATCCTTCATGCATCTGGTGAATTGTCATTTATTTTTAAATTTCAACCTCCTTCTACAAGCAACGTACTTCCTACTAAAGAATTTCAAAATTTTCAGTTTTCAAAATTCAGTTTCTTTTTTCGAAGCAAAAACTTCAAATAAGTGTTGTGGCAATTTTAAAGATAAAAACAGTGAATATCCCTGAGTAGGAAACTGGAAGCGGACGGGGGCCTGAAATCTTTTATGTATTAACATATGCAGTTTGTTTGGTGTTACTGGCCCACCAGCGTGGAGAGGAACACAATCGAATTTTGATAATTAATGAAAACAGTGGAAATGCCATTTAGATTTCCCAAATAAGCAAGCCTGTATGTGCAGTGACTTGGCAACCTCTCTGTGTTTCATCCCTGAGCTGTAAACACAAGTTTTGCTAAAATTAACAGAAAACATAGATAAAGCAAAAAAAAAAGAACCATCATCCGCTGTCTGTTCGTTGGTCCAATCGGTGCGTTCCATTATTTGACGAAAATGTGGATGATACTTGGCAAGACCCGTATCGAAAACGGCCACTTTCACGCCCTGACCTAGAAAGAGACGCTCAAGAGAGTTACTGAAGCTTTTTTATTGCTTAATTCGAAGATAAATTTAAAGCCAAAAACGAAGGCAATAATGCTTGAAAGCAAAAAAATGGGCTAGCCAGAATTAGCATCCAAAGAAGGGGACGTACAAACACACACACAAGCAAATACATGCACACAGACACAAATACAGACACGCACACGCACACATATGTATACACATGCGTACTTATATAAAAACATACGCACATACATACACAAACGCACACGCGCATACATACATGCACATATAAACACACATATACGCACACATACACAAACATACAAACATACACATGCACACAAATGCACACACACAATCAAACAAACACGTACAGACACATGCATACACACATATCCTCTTCCCAATATGCGTTTTTGCAATTTGCATATATGCAAGAATGCATAAGTAGAAACCTTTATAACCCATATCCCATAGTTTATGAGCACTGAGCAGTTTTGTTACGTGACGAATTTCGGTACCACCAGCATGACCTCGCCTCGCCAACAGACGTTTTGTGGCTGTCGGTACTGAGAAACGATTGTTACTTGCAACTCGCTTGACACGGATCGATTGCTGCAGCGAATGGACCAGTGCTGTTGCGTTGTGTACTGATACCTGAAAATCAATGGTTAATCTGTTGAAGTATGGTTTCTGAAGACTAATTATAAATATGTATATATGACCGGGCGTCTTGCACACACACACACACACACACGCACACACACACACGCACGCACACACACACGCACACGCACATACGCACACACACACACACAAACACACACACAAACACACACACACAAACACACACA